GGGGGGGGGGCGAAAAGTGATGAACGCCACCAGGTTTTCTAGGAGCGCGATCGTGATCGAGAGCAGCTGTGTCGCGGCGAGTAGCGTGGCGACGCCCGTCCGCGTCCTCTGGAGTCGCTGCGGCTCCTGCTGCGGCTGGGGGTGCGACTGCGGCTTCTGCTCCGGCTGCCGCGGCTGCGGGAGCGGGATCGTCCGTAACTTGGGCTGCGGGGACCGTCTAATTTCACGCGAACGTACGCTGTCTCTCCCTGGCGGCACACAAGACAACTGCACATTGTAGGTGGAAGGGCATAGATGGGGGTATGGGTGACGGACGGGTGACGGACGGGTGGTGGTGTGGTGTGGTGTGGTGTGGTGTGGTGTAGTGTGTGTGTGTGTGTGTGTGTGTGTGTGTGAGACGGAAAGGGCTACTCACCTCACTTGGCACGCCACACAAATCCATAGTGCCAAGAGACCAAAGTGCTACCAACATACCTCGTGCGAACGGAATTTGGAGTTGTCCAGCTTTCGGACGGCATAGGTCATGTCTTCCTTGCGCACAAACTCTACAACACCAGTCCCATCTCGGTACACGTCAGCATAGCACACGTCGCCGGCCTCGCGCATGTGGTCCTTCAGGTCCTGCCAGCTGCCGCTCTGAGGGAGTCCTGCAAACACAAGATGGCCAACGTCATTTCACCATGTAGACAAGTACAAAATGACCCTGGAAATATCATGTGAAATTAAAGCCTCTTGCATTCTCATTCTGCTGCCGCCACACCTTTGCTGATTTGCATCTTTACACACATTCAAACCGTCACCAGGCATCTCCCTGATCTCTTTATGGTGTTTATTTTATCTTATGCGATTGTTCTCTTTTCATTTACACAAGTCTTGGGACTTGTTCCAGGTTCCATATTTCGTGCCATGTGGAAATGACTTCAGCATTAGCACCGGCAGCCATTTTAAAACGAAACATGTCTCTTTTTAGAGACACAATGTGTGTTGTTCTTTTTGGCATGCGTTTAGTTTTACAGTTAACTCCAACTGGGGTGTCAGTAAACATCTTAAAGCACACTCAGGGACAGCAGAATCAAATTATTCCACACGCTTGCTGCACATGTAACATGGTGTATTCGGGTACTTTCACCACATCGGGAACGCTTGCACTAGCGCACTCACGCTCTCTGACACGCACACGGGCCGTTTGACACATTCATTTATCCTAGGTTGTAATGTTTTTAAGATTGTGGGAAGGCAAATTAGAGTTTCAAACTACGGTTAAATTCGGGCTTCTAACCAGAGTCCAGGGTTAGGATTCCAAAGTGTTAGGTTTTCAATTCAGGGTTGGATACCTGTGTTATCCTTCTCAATGAGAGCTGTGGCTTTAAATGGGTTAGGTTCTCACAGTACCGTAATCAGCATATTTTCAACAGCGACTTGTCAACCTTCTTATTGTACATGCACACAAACAAATGATGCTTATAAAGTTACTTCCCGGGCCTCTGCTGTATTTCAAAAGACAACAGAGAAAAAGTTTAAACCCTGGGATGCAATCATTCTATTTCCTTTGTTTCCAATTCTGTGCACAACGCATTCTGCTCACATATGCATACTGATGCAAAGTGGAATACCTGCTGGGCTTTTTATAGCATCAAAGTTGTTTGGCCTCAAATATTTCAGTCTGTTTTGTCCTAATGCTGCTGCCACTCATTAACATCTCACACACAAAGCTTTTCATCTCAAACCAAATTACAAAGTTTTCTGAACATGTCTCAGTTTTTTTTAAATAAGAGTATTCAGCACACATCAAAAGAAAGTTATTTTTGGACCATTTGTAGACCAAAACTAAAATTAAAACAGCACAAAGCGTGACGGTCAATGTCAGCAGCAAAGCACGACAACGCATCAGGCTTACCGGACACAACCACCCTATACTCGGACCGTCTGGATGGGGGCCCGTATCGGCCTCTAGGGGCTCCGCCTCCGCCTCCACCGCCGGCCCCGCCCAAACTGCTGCCTCTGGAGCCCCTCCCGCTCCGGGGGAACTCAACGCGCAGCCGGTAGCCATCGTAGTCGTATCCATCCCGGCCGTAAACGGCATCCCCAGCGTCCCTAACCACAAAACGGAGTATGTAAGTCACAGTGAAAATGTGAGCATTAAAACAATGTCTTCTCTCTTTTTGGATGGGTTGCAGAGGGGTTGGACAATTTGTGGTACATTTCCATGGGACGTTAACTGAGGATATTTTTTAAATACGCCAAATTGGAAGTTTTTCGAGGAAATTGATGGGTGCTAAGAGGTAACCCAAGCAAATTTAATGGAAGGGTACCATATTCAAGTATAATTTTTTTTTCATCATAAATCTTCCAGGCAAAATATATAGCTCTCCTTGCCCATGTGTGAGGGCATTACAGTCACTTAAATGGTTTTATTACACTCCCCCCACTAACTAGCTCACAAAACACAAATGGAAAACAAAATTGACTAGGTGATTGCTTGTAACTCCCAAAGCTTGTAGACTGGGCCAGTTGACTTATTGGTGTAACAAAAAATCAATTTGGCTTGATAAATCGATTTAATTTAACCTAACCGAATTGTTATACTCTAAAAGTACTGTCCTTAAATCGTATCATCTCGTGTATCCAATTACTGCAATTGATTAAATGAGAAATGTAGTTGTTTTAGTCAGGAATTTGGTCAAATGCAATTCCACAATACTTGTGTAAAATCCTGGTTTCTTTGCGTTTATTCCCTTTGTTGGGGGCAGTAATTTGACGAACTACTTGTTGGCGTAATAGGATAGTTACCTCAGTCATATACTAAACACAACAATTCCAACCAATAGTAAGAATCAAGTTGCCTCAATTCAACCTTAAAATTGATTCCCATTACCTGGGAAACGGAAAACCTACACAAAGGGTAACAGTTCTCAGCACGCACGGTGCAAACGTTGATTTGATATCGTGGCAGTGAGTTAAAAATTATGTTCCCATTTATGCTGCAAAATAAGGAAATGCAGTAAGATTAAAGTAAAACTGTGCAGCAGGTCCAGTGTGTAGTCTTGGCCCGTGAATAAATAGTTGGCAGTTAGCCACAAAATGGCGGCTCGCTGCCTAAAAAAAGCTAAGCTATCAATAGCACTTTACCTTGGGTCTTCGAACTCAATAAAAGCGAACGGCGGTCCTCCTCTGCGGTTTTTTAGGTCGATGTCTCGAATGTTGCCGTACTTGTAGAAGACTTCCTCCACGTCTTTGGTGCGGATATCGGGCGGGAGGTTGCCCACGTAAATTCGGCAATCGTTATTCCCCGCCGGGCCTCGCACGACGCCAGACATCATTCGTAGATGGGGCTCGTTCTCTCCTGCTAAACTGGTTTAGTTTAAAAAAATTAAAAAAGGAAAAGGAAAAATGAAAAAAAAAACAAAACACTGGCCGTATAGTCCCGAGCGCACAAGTCCCCGCAAGCAGTGGAAGGGTTAATCACGCGGCTTATCGATGTTTTGTTTGCGGTTATCCACAAGTTGCGGACTCGCCTCGGCCTCCCTCCCTCCGCCACTCACCGAACTTCCGGCATGGCTCGGGAACTCAACTTCATCCACGTACCAAAAAGTAGTCCGCCACTAATAACGACAGAAGTCGATGTCCATTCACATCAGTACATGGACAAAGCAGGCCATGCGGTGACTTGATTAAACGTGGCCGATATAGAGCCTAAAGATGAATATTGAATGTATTTTAATTATATTTTAAAAGCTTAAGTTGAGAATTGCAACATCAGACAAAAAACGCCAATGATTCATTGCGTTTGCAGAAACGGCTGCTAATATATAAAGACACACACTATACTATTATTGTTATTCTGTATTTTATATTTGTATGACTTATATACTTCTATGCACTTGTGCGTTCTCTCTGTGAAAAGTGCCATTCAAACCGAATGCACTTTGATTTAAAATTGCCCACAGTCAATGTGTGGTTTTAACAAAATCCTTATCAAACCACGAGGTAGTGGTTTATTTAGCTGATTTGATGAGTATTCTATTGTAGTCATACTTCTTATCCTATATAATTCCTTAACATTAATTTTCAAAACATCAATCATAGCAACACAATTTCAGGAAATATCTCTGTACATTAGAAAACACAGCAAAAATTGTAGTTCGTAAAGCGAGCCTGTGAGTGGCGCTGTAGCAATGCTGCACAGAAACAACCGAAAATCAAGACGTGCAAATGCCGCCAACGTTGGGGGCTAACGATACAGCGTGAACACAAGTCTCAAATAAAAATAACAAATGGCTTCCTTGTTCAATGTTGCGTGAATTATATGCGAACTTGGTGTCAGAGCTTATATAGCTCATGGTTTTAGTGGGCATTCAACATACTCTTAGACTCTGATTTCACCGCAGTGGTCTCGAAACCAGTGTACTGTACTTGGAGAAAAGCAAAACGTCCAAAAGTCTGGCTTCATCTGAACATTTTTATTTGGAATGGAGTCTCTGAAACAATATACACACAGACTTATTGTTTTTCTATCAAAGGGTGCAGGAACACCAATTTTATTACAACTGATGCATTTCAATTTCAGGTTTCATGTGATGCTAGGTTTAGGGTTCTCAAATTTGGGTTTCATTACTCGATTGAGTTTTTATGTGGGTTCTGCTTTCAAGCATTATGGTTTTAAATTAAGATTTAAAGCCAATCTTAGGGTTTTAAAGTAGAGTTTTTATACAGCAGATTTCATACTGAATGTAACTCAATGTGCATCACATAATTACACAACATTTAAGGCAAAGACACTTAAATGATAAGAAGTTAATTAAAAGTTGTTTTCTAAAATTATTTAAAGAACCTAAAAGAACATAATTTAGGAAAACAAGATTATAGAAATGTTCTCAAACACCTAAAGACGTTAACCATTTGTGTGGGGGGAGGGGGAATATAGTTTTTTAATTTGGATTTACAACCATTGACACTTGGGGCTAACTTCAGTTCTGTTGGCATCTTATTCCATTTGCATGCAGTTTATCGGCAAAATGCAGATCCATCATGTTTCAAGACACTTTTGGGTCTAAAATTAAGAGTTTAAAGCCTGGGTTAGGGTTTCATATTAAGATTTAATGTCTGTGTTACAGTTTCAAATTAATGTTTCAAATCAAGGATTTAGCCTTAGTTGGGTTTTACAGTATAGTAGCGTTAAAGACACTTTTAGAGTTTCAAGTTATGGGTCCAAGGATGGGTCAGGGTTTTAAACAAGGGCTGGAGTTTCAAGTTAGGGTTTCAAACAAGGGTTTGGGTTTCAAGGTAGGATTTCATATGAGCATTTAATATCATTGCTTTTGGTTTCAAATTACATATCAAATCAGGAATTGGATTGTAAATCGGGGCTGCTGTTTAAAATTAAGTTTAGAGTTTCAATTTGGGGTTTCAAAAAGACATGATTCGGGTCTCGAGCCACAGTTTGGGTTTCAATTTTACGGTTATGGTTTAAATTAAGATTTCAAGCTAGGTTTAGGGTTTTAAGGAAGTGTTAGCATCTCAAATACTGGTTTCAAGTCTGGATTAATATGTCAAAGTAAGATTTGATAATATCATTTAATATCTGGGTTAATTTAATTCATGTTTAAAATCAGGGATATGGTTTCAAGTCAGGGTGAGGTTTTAAGCATGTTGAGCATTTCAAATTGCGGTTTTAAACATTGGTTAGTCTTTGAAAGTTGAGTTTAAAGGTCTCTTTAGTGTCTCAAGTAAGGGTTTCATGGGGATTTAAGCAAGGATTTGTATTCACCTACATCTTGTTTCAGAAATATGTGACCTCCAAGACAAAATGATAAAGAAAATTTCAAGTAATCCTGACTATATCACTATATCTATTCACGTTATATGGCAATGGAGTCTCAGCTCGATGACCGTGTTTAGTATGAGTAACAGGATCCATAGACGCCGTGTGCAGAATCTGCATAGTTGTCGGCGCCCTTGTACTTTCCTCGACACGCCAAACTGTTGACCTGACACAAACACACAAACACAGAACACAATCTGCTGAATTCATAAATGTACGGTGTGTTTGTAGAGCGCTGCGGATTGCGGCTGAATTTATTTTTCTGACCACCTTTTATTTTTAATTTCACAACACTCAAAAACGGATATGTACATGCGACTCTTACTTTGACCAAAAAAAACTGAACTGCTCAGGCCAAAGCTATGTCTAATATAAAAATATTGCTTGGACGTCATGGGGTGGCTTGTTGTGGTCACTACACGTGTTGAAGTGAGGGAGGAGCTTCATTGAGTCAGGCCATAGCCTCGTCTAATACATTGAATTGCTTTCCCACCATCTTGTTGCAAAGAGCAAGCAAAGAGCAGCTGGAAGAACATTAGAAAGAGGGAGCCATGCACTGAAAAGAAGATGAATTAAGATTAGAAAGTTATAATATACGGTTTGTGCATGAATGAGAGATGTGGAGGGGGACAGTAAGACAACAGGGAGAAGTACGATGATACTAGTGCAGCATGTATTACTGGAGACAAATTCCTTGTGTGTTCCACATACTTGGCCAATAAAGACGATTCTGATTCTGATTCTGAAGTAGCAAGAGTGGACTTGAATCACTTAAGCCCGTATCTCACAGAGCAGCAAAGGATTGCAAGTGTGGGTGCATGTAGCGAATATTGTTTTTTTGTTATGCTTCGTTCAGTGTTGCAAACAGTTGCCAAGATTTTCACCAGACATTCCCAAACCATAACCTTAATGGTTACAAACATTTTTTCTTTTTGCCATCAAATGTTGAACATGTTCAAAATTTCTTTGTGACTAGAAAAACTGTTTGAGACCATTTAGAATTATTGGTGAATATCTTTGCGACCGTTGCGACCCGCTCATGTGAGATGCGGCCTTTAAACCGGTATCTCAATGAGCGGTGAAGGTTTGAAAGTGTGACCAAAGAGAAGGTTGATCGAAGTAGTGAGGGAAGATAGGGGGCGACTGCAAACGGGACAAGCCAAAAAACAAAACAGATCTGTCTTTGAACATGAGAGCAACATGTGAATATTTTTCCCCCTCTGACCTCGGCCCTCCTGATGAACTGCTCTGTAGCGGCCTTCTCATTCTCCTTGTGTCCACGCCAGGCCCGCAGCGCCGAGGCCTGCAGGGCGCGGCCGAAGGAAAAGGTGAGGGTCCAGGGTTTTGCCAGGGGGCAGTTGTTGATGGCGTTCAGGTGCACGGACGCTTCCTCTTCGCTCTGGCCCCCTGAAAGGAAGGCCACGCCTACCCGGGAAAGTAACATGTTAAGCGTAGACCGGGGGTGCCCAAGTCCGCCCCATGAGAGCCCCTATCGAGCGTGTGAGAGATGTCTCTCTCGACCAACACACCTGATTCAATTTTGTATTAAGCTTCTGCAAAGCTGACTGATCATTTGAATCAGGTGTGTTGGAAGAGGGAAACATCTAAAACGGGGGTTGGCAATCCGCGGCTCTAGAGCCGCATGCGGCTCTTTAGTGCCCCCCTAGTGGCTCCCTGGAATCTTTTCAAAAATTTTTGAAAATGGAAAAAGATCGGGGGAGGGAAATATATATTTTTTTTAATTTGGCTTCTTTGATAGTAGGCTAACATAGCTAATATAAATACATACAGCATGAGTTGCCTTCATTATAAGGCTTATATAAAGCTTTTAATTTTTTTGCGGCTCCAGACATATTTGTTTTTTTGGTCCAGTATGGGTCTTTCAACATTTTGGGTTACCGACCCCTGATCTAAAACATGCAAGATATACGCCCTTGAGGAGTGGTTTTGTACACCTCTGGGTTGCGGTTACGGTTTATTGACCTGCCACTGCCGGAGGAACTGTGCGGCGCAGGGCGGTGAGAGTTGCCATTGCGACGTCCTCCGGGCTGTACTTTTTGCTGCAGCCATGTCCCGGCGTGACCATGTTGGGTTTGAGCAGCGTGCCCTCCAGGTACACGTGGTGGTCCGACATGGCTTGGTAAACCGCCGTCAGCACCTGAACTCCGATACAATATTTTCTTTGGTTATATGTCTTGAACTCACAGATGTGAGACATCGGTTGCTCACCTTCTCAGTGATGTACTGGCATCGCTTCAGGTCGTGTTCTCCGTCGGGTAAGAGTTCGGGCTCGATTATGGGCACCATGCCTTGCTGGAAGAGGAGGCACCACAATGTTGCAGATGGAACAGCCAAATAAAAATGTTGTATTTACAACAAAAATGATGTTTGCGGCTCCCAAATGAGACCCAAGCGACAGCAACACTGGCCATTGAAAACGAATTATGAATCAGAATGTTTGCATTCGGGTCAGAATTGGTCATAGCATATTGTTGTCAGAGAGGAATATTTGGATGGCACTCAGGTGTCCATATGTGTGATCTTTGTTCTATTTTATCTTACCAGTTGATCTACCACATCTATGCGGTTATTTTTGATTGGCCCATTGGCCGGTTGATGCTATCCTGAGACCAATTCATTAGTTTGTGTGTACGGGTGTGCATCTCTCGAGTAAAAGACAATTCGATACTCAAACAGCTTATTTGACTGACGCTTTCTACTTTCAAAGTATGGCAAAAGGGAAGATAGTGGTGCTATCCGAAAGGAGTTGTGATGTCATGGTGAAAAGGTCCATTTATGTGGGTACACTCACCTGCTGGCAGATGCTGGCGCAGCGAGCCAAGACATTAGCGTTCTCGCTGATGGCCAGCTTGGATGGGTTGGCGTCGCCGATCTTCATCACGCAGCGCCACTTGGCGAAGGAAGCACCGTCTTTTTTGTACTGGGCGCAGCGCTCTGACAAGCCGTCCAGACCTATGGGTGAATGTTTTTGTCATAATTTTGCACGACATGTCGGACTAAATGCGTTCCCTCTTTCTAAAAAGGCTTCATCTGAGTAGAGCCAATTTTACACCAAGGCTATTAGCATTGGCGTTAGTGAATTAGACGATGTTTATTCGTGAGGCTAATTTGCACAGAGGTAGGCAATTTCTCTGCCAAATATATACTTATTCTCTCATTTAAACATGTGCAAATACCACCGGCGCACCGAGGCACATTCTGCTTGCCAACTTAGTGACACATTTCATCATCTGCCCACGCTTTGTTCCATTTTATCTTACCAGTTAGCACCACACAAAAGCCATGCAATCTTATAGGGAATTCTGCCCTCAGTGTACGAGCAAGGGTCTGGTCCATTTCCAGTACTCACCCTGGGTAGTGGTTTCTCCGCAGGTTCCTGCCAAAGGAACAACTCCCTTGTCAACCTGAGCAACAAAAGACAAAGACGCGTGTCTACGAGCGTCCACATCAGTGCAATAGTCATGCTGTCTAATCAACATCTTGCTATTCCACTCTTATGAGGTGGGTAGACAATATCTTTTACGTACTTTTTTTACGCCTTGTTGGACAAAACACTGGATCAAATCCTCAACCCAATGCATGGCTTGATCCATTTTGGACCCAGCGCACGGTTAGCTATTTTGCCCAATTTGGGATTTTTTTACCCACCAATTTTAAGAGTGCCTCGAAAAGCCACTAAAAAATGGATAGTGGGCGGCAAATGGCTCTCGGGCTGTAGTTTGGACTCCCCTGCCCTAACTTTGTAAATGTACCTTGATGCCAACCAGGATGCCTCTATCTCGAATCATCTTGACAAAGCTGACCCCGCCGTCCGAGTGCTGGTAGAGCGTCTCGTGGAAGAAAATGACGCCGCCGATGCAGCTGATAATGCGGTCATCAGCGTTGAACAGTATTTGGCGGAACTGACGACGGTTCTCCTCCGTGTTCTCCACGCCCACCTGCGCTAGACGCTTGGCCATGCTACCTGCCACAAATACCCATGCTCAAAAGTCACGCAGTATTATTATCCACATTGAAATAAAATGAAAGGCCATTGTTGTCTTCCAAGGTTATGATACAAATAGTTAATGAAAACTAACAAAAAAAAAAAGAAAAACTAAAATTGAAAAATAATTTTGGTGGAAAAATGTCCATGTCTATCCAAAACAATACCCCTTATCCCTTCTAGCAACCCAAAAAAAAAAGCACCATTAAACTCCCTTTCTGTGGCCTTTTTTCCCCGCACAAACGTCTGCTCCATGATCCTTGTGAGTGTTTTCATTGTGTATTTTTATGTTCGGCTGCTTGTCCCGCTCAATAAACAGCTGAAGGTACATTTATTCGACAAGGTGGCCACCCCCTCTCCCCACTGTTGAAAATCATTTTACCGTCATGGAGTTGGGTCTACGTACCTACTGACTCATCCGCAGCCAGAATCCCCTTCCCCGGAGAGACGATGCGCATGGCGGTCTCATGGAGTTCCTTTTTCTGAGCCTCAGTCAAGGCGGTGAACTGGTGCGTCATGTTGACCAACTGCACTACCTTCAATAGACGGCGCAGCTGAATAATCACAAAAAAAAAAACAAAACAGGATGGCTAAGTGTATTGCTGTGTTGAAAATCAGTCCTTAGCTGCTATTGGTGTAGAATGTAAATAGTGAATTGGCTATTTTGTATTGCTGTTCAAATTTGTTGTATATTATCGGGTTGCCAGTGTAAAAAGAAAAAAAAAATCTGAACTGGAAGATCTGCAGTGTCGTGGGGGACCAGAAAAAGTTGAACCACAATATAGCGTGGTTTACTGTCAAGTTCATAAAAATAAATCTCATGTTTAATGATTGATAACGAAACTATTTTTATTGTGTATAGTGGTGTATGCAGCATCCACTTGAATTTAATATGAAATATGGGTCTCAGATTTTAAAATGATAAATGAAAACGCTTTTTTTTTACATTTTACAAAATAAATATACACATTGTTTTTCAATTAAATAACTTATCTAAAAAGATTGACTTATATTCCAGAGAATTAAACCTTAAAATTTGAAAACTTAAAGCAGAAATGAAAACCTGATACAACGATTTTACAAAACATTTTTTTCACTGACATTTGACAAATAAATCTATCCATCAAACCATTTTCCAAACCACTTATCCTCCAAACAATTCTAATTTAATTTTGAATTAAAAGTAGCAACAAGAAGCCAATAAATATATCATGAAATAAATAAATTAATTCATTAAACAAATACAGCGGACCCTGTATATTATCGATTCAATATTTTTTTCCATTTTTAAATTTGGTTTACGTTTTTTTTTATTCATTTAATAAAATCAACAGCAGCATCAATAAAAAATAATTTCACAGATTCTCACAAGATATTTCAATACATGCAGAATTTCAAATATTACATACACAGTCTAAATGTAAAATGCGTAAAATATCAAACACATTTTTTCCTAAATGGTTTGTTTGTGTTTAAAATCAAATCATCTTTGGCGGCTTGAAATGCCACTTTCTAGTTTGGTCAAAGGATTGTTTCATCTGGGGAAACAATAAAGGAGGAGAAATTGGTTCCTACCTTGACAGGAAGTGAAGAGGGACGAACTGGAACGACGGCGGTCGACTTTTCAATGAATCCTGCGTTGTGGGCGGAGCTTGCTCTCACGTGTCACACCAAAAAAGGGGATCAGAATGGTTCGCCATCATTGCTGTTTTCCAGATAGGACAATAATAAAATAAAAGGCACTTAGCTATGAAGTGAATGCAACATTATCAACAGTAAATGTCAAATATCACATTTACAAAGACATCCATGGACAAACTATTAAAGCAACCCACTTTGTGCCTTTAGCCGCATTGCTATTTCTATTCTAATTATCTCAAATGTCCCATGGGAGGCTGTGGTCAACCCTCCTGCTATTTGGGTCCTCTCCCTGGAATCCTCATAGGGCTTTTAAACAGTCTCAAAGCAATTCATCAACTCAAGCGAGGTTTCAACTGTCAATGAAAAATCAAAATTCAAAAACTTTTTTACCATGTTATATTACCATTTTTGTTATTTTATGTTAACTATTCTGTAAAGCACTTTGTTGCAGCTGCAGCTGTTGTGAAAGCGCTATATAAATAAATATGTATTGTATTTTTTTAATTAATTTTAACCTTTAATTAATTAGGTTGGTCCCAATGAGGTCAAGAGAGACCCTGCCAAGACACGCGGACTATCGGATGGCACCACGAATCCTTCTGACCAAGGCAGAGCCAGTGAGAAAACAGCGGAAATGACATGAAGATGATTTTAGCCTTCTTCTCTACCGTCATAGTTTGAATGTGAAAATGTCAGTTAAACAAGCCGACGGCGCATTCTGTAAAACACAAAGTTTGGTTCTCAGGTTGGCCTTATATAAGCGGCGACTACGTCTTGCCTCTTTTCGGCCTTTAGCCACTGTGATGAAGGGCTGTTAAATGCGACAAGTTGAGCATTTTGCTCTTGAAATTGCTTTACTCTAAAATGATGGCTGCATCCATTCCACAGTGGCTCAGTGTGGCTGTGCGAGTGGCCATAGTGGACTTGCGCAAACAAAAACCCGAGAGACATTTCATGTTGCTCCCATTCATAAGTGTGAAATAGATCAAGAACAGCAATCACATGTGGATTCCTCCGCTGGGATGCCATCGCTGTCATCCAATTAGAAACACTTAATGACCCTACTTTATCTAGTGCTGTTATTGAGGCCGCCCTCATTGGCTGGCTGGCTCCTCGAAATGGGTCAGATCAAAATTGTCCGTAACCTACGCGACCAAGCAAAGATAGATTATTTCCAGTTCTTTTGTATGTTTCTATCACCTGCCACCATTTCAAGTGTCTCTGATAAACCCCTCGGAAATTATTTTAGAACTGACTGATTGATATCTCACTGTTCCAGTATTTTTGTAGGGCAGTCCATTTATGTTAATATAAATAAGAGACACCAAAACTGTATTCAACTAACTTTATTATATAAAAGAACAAAGTAGAAAATTCCAGTAGAAACTTTACAACAGTAAAAAAAAACAAATTAACTGGATGTGTTCCAGTACCTAACAAAGGTACCAAAGCAAAGTGGTGAACATGGTAAACAACGTAAAACAAATGCTGAAAGCAAAACAGAATTGCAAAAGTGCACTTTGATCGAAAGTAGATAAAGATTTCTCTGAGTGGCAAATCCTGCAGTTATGTCTTTTCATCACTTTTTGAGTTCGCTGGCGGAGTCGCAGCTTCCCGTTTTTTAACACGCAGCAGGAATGTCCAGAACATAAAATAAATAAAGAAATGCCATAGAAAACAAGACAATCAACAACAACAAAAAGCTACAAATATGCTACCGCAAAAATAAATTACTTATCAGACAATCATTTCAAAATGTGGTGAAATACTTTTTTCGGGACTTAAATGTTTTCTTGTTTTGTGTGACATACCTCTCAAATCCACTGGATTTATTTTTTAACGATCAGCGCAACACAATTTTTGTTTCGGATTGGTAACAAATATTTACACTTTCAAAAGTCATGGAGGACCAATTGTGTATTTGTGTGTGTGTGTTTGTGTTGTGTGAACATTTTCACTGCACTAAAAGGGTGTGTGTGTGTGTGTGTGTGTGTGTGTGTGTGTGTGTGTGTGTGTGTGTGTGTGTGTGTGTGTGTGTGTGTGAGTGAGAGATTGGTCAGTACAAAAGGCACTGGATGCGTCACACGGTGAAAACATTTCATGACTGGGCTAGAAAATAAAAGTAAAAAAGCTAATTTGCCCAAAAAAGCTCATTAAACGAAACTGGTTAGCCATTAGCTTTAGCATTGGGTGTGGACAAATGTCAAAGGATTTGGATCCACTTTCACAGTTGACAAAAATACAAACAAACAAACAAACCAAAAAGCCAGCAACTGTTGTCTGCAGTCCGAACCAGCAGAAACAAAAGCCAGCAAGTGTCGTCTGCTGTCCGAACCAGCAGACTCACCGACGCCTTTTGCAGCAGCCTAGTGGTTGCCGCAGTAACCCGGCCGGCGCTGCGCCTAGGCTAGCCTGTAGAGGGCGCTGAGGGTGCGAGCCACCAAGTTGAGGAAGCCCTGGCCCACATCTATCCAGTCCTGCCAGTGCGGAGCATCGTGCTGAAGGGCAGACACAATCAGACACATGAGGTCATTTATTAGTCAACTAACTTGCTAACTGTATTAGCGACCTAGTTGAACCACATGAAATGAGCCAATGGAGAAAAAAAACACTTGATTAACATGTGCGCATGTACACATGCACATGGGCTAGTCAAATGACCAACAAACATATTCATGTACGGTAGGCAAGGTCAAATCAAAAGGTCAAATCAAAAATGTCTATAGCCACACACACACACACACACACACACACACACACACACACACACAATAGGCTCAGTGAAAATGTCCACACACACACACACACACACACACACACACACACACACACAGCCTTGAGCACATAAACAAAGATGATGTCATCTCCTGCCTCACTCAGACATGCAGCCTGTGTGCTTGTGTGAGAAGGGGGAGGGGGAAGGCTGTTGACAAGTCCTCACGCGAGGTAGTGTGAGGACTGATGAGGGGGGGAGGAGATAAGAAAGGTAGCACAGTACAGGTTCAACATTTGGGCAGAATAAAGTGACCTCATTCATAAGTCAAAACCACATAGTGTGTGTGTGTGTGTGTGTGTGTGTGTGTGTGTGTGTGTGTGTGTGTGTGTGTGTGTGTGTGTGTGTGTGTGTGTGCCATGTTTCGTTGGTGATGACAACATACATCAACAAAGTCCACGTGTCTGCCTAAAAGTCACATGGATGTTGAAAGAAAGAGGCGGGGTCACAACATGTGTCCTAGGTTGACCTTTGGCCTGCCCTTTCCTTTATCAGCGGACAACACGGACGATCAGCTCAGTGAGTAGTGAATCGTAGTATGATGTCACAGGGACGTCACACTATGACGTCACGCTATGATGTCAGTTATAATTCCAGCTGTGATATCTGGTTTCAGTCACACTGACTACAATGTTATGAAATCATCCCATGTTTCGAACTGTGATGTCACAACATCACACTACGATGTCACACGATAATATCACGCTAGGACGTTAGGCTATAAATTCAAGCTATGATATGATGGCATCCAGCTTTGATGTTACATCATGACATGAGGTGATGTCAGACGCCACACATCCTAAATACATGTATTTCCGTATCTGCAGATATCTTACCGCTCTCAGCACAGAGGCGTTAAATTGATCCCCGATAGTCCGGAGGTGCTGGGCCACGGCGTTGGTGTCAACCTGCCCCGCTTCCATCATGACCTCGGCTCTGAGATGCGACCCACCCCCAAACGCCCGCTGATCTTGGGGCAGCAGGTCCGGCAGGGGAGCGCGCTGATGGGCCGCTTCCTGACGTTGCCGCCTCTCTATACAGAAAGACATTACAAACAGGAAGTAAGATTAATTGTAGAATACGTCACACGATATGGCTAAGCTAAACTCACACATTAACATAAAAGACAGCATTAAGTTTTAAGTTTCAGGAAAAAAAAATTAACTTGTTACAAAATTGGATGAAAATATAAGTTTAATAAAAGCTAACTTCATCAATAAAAATTTATTGGTATTTAAGCATACATATTATTGTTGCATTTTTTTTTTTTTAAAACAAGAACAATATTCCATCCATTCATTCATTTTCCGATCCGCATTATCCTCACAAGGGTTGCGGGGGGTGCTGGAGCCTATCCCAGCTGTCTTCAGGCAGTAGGCGGGGGACACCCTGAATTGGTTGCCAGCAAATCGCAGGGCACACAGAGACGAACAAGCATCCACGCTCACACTCACACTGAGGGACAATTTAGAGTGTTCAATCAGCCTGACATGCATGTTTTTTGGAATGTGGGAGGAAAAAGGAGTACCCGGAGAAAACCCCCACTCAGGCCTGGGAAGAACATGCAAACTCCACAAAAAGCAGATTTATTTGTTTGACTAAAAAGTTTCTCACCCTGTGTAATACAGTATTAGCGCCAGTTAATTTCCTTGAATTTGGTCTCATTTAACAGCCATGTGACATTTGTATGTCATAGAAAGGCAGGCTAGTTTATTTTGCGTGTTTTAATTGAGGATTTGGTTGAGTGTGTGAGGTAGCAGGAAGTGCAGGCTGCTAGTGTGAGTGCATGTGCAGGACAAGTCTGAACATGCCCCACAGATGAGCCACAGCACAAGGAGGGAGGGAAGGGGGAAGTTCCAGCAAACTGAGCCACCAACGTGTCACTTCTTTACAAGATGCAAAATAAGTTTCCATTCACGCCTTCCACACAAGACAACACAAGAAAACATTAACTGTGTTGTCATTCATTTTTTAAAGATTTTTTTAGCCTATTTGTAATGATGATGGTCAGTAAATAAAAATGTCGTATTCTAATTAATCTAATTATTTAAACAATGTTGTAATTTAATAAAAAATGAAATTGGTTGTTCTATAGTTTCCTCTAAAGTGTTTTTTTTGTTTTGTTTTTTTTTGGGGGGGGGGGTTAAAAAATCACATTGTTACGACCGAACCATTGGCCATCGATTACTCGGTTGATATTATCACTTTTG